TTTTTTTTTTTTTTTTTTTTTTTTTTTTTTTTTATAACACTTAATAACACTTAATATACACACATCCCCTCTAAATTATGAAATTCTTTAATATGATATTCTCGAACTAAAATAACTAAAACATAAAACCAGAATAAATCAAAATTTACCAATCCACACGGCTGAATACAACAGAAGGAGTTTCATTATGATAAAGTGCTATTAGAAGAAATACGGCACACCAACATAACAACAACACGACACACCGACACAACAAACAACTATTATTATATATTAGGCTGGATGTAATTTATAGTCTGAAAAAAAAAATTCTTTCTTTGGTTTTTAACCGTTCCCTTTTTTTTATTATTATTATTTTTATTGTTATAGTTGTCGTGGTGTCGAATTTATTTATCTTCCTCGCTTTTTTTTATATACTCTTCTCTTGAAAACAAATACCTTCGTGGCGTTCTCAGAATCTTTAAAGTAAAAAGTGTAAGTCTTTTTACTAAATTGTATCTTAACATACACATTATATACGTATACTTTTTCTTCAAATAAAATAATAAACTTTCTATAAACTTTTTCATAAACTTCTCATAAACTTTATTGTAGAATCATATTAAAAAGATTTGTTATTAACCTATTTTTTACTTTATTTCCAAACTCAAACTTCTAACCTTTTGTTGTTATTTTTACTTTTTCCTTACATCACTTAAAAAATTATTCCCTCAACATTTAAAAGTTCATTCCGCTCCTCATATAAAAAAAAATCATTATATAGACTCAACCTTATAGAGAAAAAAAAAAAAAAAAAAAAAAACTCTTCCCTTGTGGAATAATATAATACATCCCAAAAGTAATAAAGTAATTTGATAATTAGGAATGATCCCAGAAATCCCAAAATATTACACAACTAAAGAACGTTCTTCTTTAAGACGTTCTCTCAGAATCCAACGACGTGATGATAGGAGAAGATGTGAAGAATTAGAACGAAGAGCTCTTGAAGAAATGAGAGCTCAGGCTCATGTACCTAAAAGACTTACCAAACAGCCTATAAAACGTCCTACGACCACTAGTACTTTATCTCAAACATCATCAAAAAGGTCAAAGAAGAAGAAAGTATATCATGATCTCTCACAAACAAATACTACAAGTCGTTTGTTGAGCATGCCTCTGGATTTACTATTATATTTATTGGAGTTCCTTGGTATTTATTATTTTATTTATCATAACATTATTATGTTCATTGTTATGTTGCTAATTATTTTTTTTTATTATCATCATCATCTTCCAATTTGATGTCTTTCACTTTACTATAGATGGTAAAGTATCTTTTACTATTTATAATTCTATTTATGATTCTATTTAATGATTTGTTTCAAGAATTTGTTATACTAAATGTTGTTGTAATGTAACTTTAGGACCTTCCCTAGCGGCAATGGAACGAGCATCCAAATCGCTTTATCATATAATACGTGGACAACATAGCCCTTATAGATTCTTGTATTATAAATTATTGGCTACTTATAATCCTATTGATGAATGCGCTATGGAAACTGGTGAACAACCTGAGAGAGCTATTCATGCTCCCGTCTTACCAAAGATCAGACAATCAGTTGTCAAGCAAGAATCAAGAGAATTTAAAGTATCCGATTGGAAGGTAATTTATCGTTTATATAATCATACCTTAAATTATTAAATTAATGTACTAACTCTTAACTATTTAATTTTAATAATTGAATGTTTGTTCAAAAATTTAGGTTCAGGTAATTATTAATTAATTTTATTCATGCTTTTATTTTATATTTTATATTCTAATAAATCTTTTTTACAAATTTATTATTTAGTTTGTTGAATCATATAAGTACTACGTTACAGAAGTTTGCACTGTTTGTGGTGAACCAGGTGATCCAATTCCTGTATGGGAAGTTCGTTTGTGTAGATTTTGTGTCGTAAGACAATTGATCAATAAGAGTGCATTATACGCATTCACATTGTCCTCAAAGGAAATTGAAATGCTTAAGGTATGTTTAAGAAATATTATTATTATGAATATAAATATTATGTTCTTAATTTTTATTTATTTATTTATTTATTTATTTTTTTTAGCCATGGAAAACCTATGTATATGATCTTGGTATGAATTGTACTTTTTACCTTCGAAATCATCTCGATCATTTGAGACGACAAAAATATTCAGACCCTCAATCCGATTTGGACCGTGATGTTGAACAACGTCAATCTGAAAAATTTGCAAAGGAAAATTTTAAACGCAAGAGAAAACAAAAGGAACAAGAAGAATCTTATAATGAAAGAACACAAGCAATTCTTCGTTGTTTTAGAGATTCAAACTTGAAAGAAGAATTATCGGTCATGGAAGAATGGTGGTTCCCAAAGGAACTTAAATTGGAAATCCATGAGGTACTTTATATTTGAAATCACGGGTAATGACCATGACATCATTACACGAATTCACGTGATCAGTATGAACTAAATATATTTATTTTTATTTATTATTATTTTTTTTTTTTAGTATATTTCAAATAAGACAAATAATAGTTTGGCGCGAAAGCGACTTCGTTTATCTACTGGTCAAGATTCTAATGACGATATTACTACACCTTCCAATCCTCAAACAAAAAGTAAAGCATTACGAAAAAATTTGGAAGATATCATGTTTGAATTACAAACTGTTGTTGTCCCTAGAGTAAAAAGATTAATGGAATTAAATAGACTTCTTTTGGCGAATGGCATTTCAATTGTTGATAAATTACGTATGGAATTAGATTTAAAAACAAGACGATTTTACGATGAATTTATACTTGGAGGAGGAATGTCTTCACCACTTTTATCTTCACAAAATTTTTTAGAATACCCATTGACAGTTGCTCGAACATGTAATGAAATCCTATTATACTTTAACCGAGAGAATATGTTTGAATCATCACTTACGCGAACATGGTGTGAGTCAATTAGTCAAAATAATATTGCGTGTTGTGAGGCAGATCGTCAAAGATTTTTACGGGATGCAAAAGAATGGTGGGCAAGACGAGGAAAGAAACCTCCACCGGAAAAATGTGGAGAATTATATTTGGCACGTGTTCGTAAGAGACAAATTTGGTTAAAGAATGATATGTCTTTAACTAGAACACAAGAAAATTGGAGAAGACAATTATTGGAAAGGAAATTAAGAGAGAAAATTGACTGGTATTTCACAGATTTACCGAAATGTATAAAAGAGTTGAGAAATATATATGAGAATAACTTGAAGCGTAGAATGAAGAATAGTGAAATCTATTTAATGAAGGTGTGTATAATTTGCGACATGGCGCAGTAAAATCACTACATTACTTAAGTTTTAGCTAAATCACTTTTTTATAATAGGGTATTTCTTCACAAATTGAAATGTTAGAACCTCCAGAACGATTAAAGTCCATGTATTGTGATTATGAAGATTTCATAAAAGATTGTAATGGATTTTGCTCAACTGAAGATGGTTATTGTGGTTGCTTAGAATGTATGTATAAGGAATAAGTTTATGATTGTTTTCTATTTATGAATTAATTTGATAGATTTAATTAAATTCATTTAAAATTAGATGCTGCAAAGGACATTATTCGAGCAAATACAATATTGAGACGCAAGGAATGGATGAATGCTGAATTGAAAAAATGTAAAACAATCAATTTCCAAGGTCCAGATTTGCTGTTATGTACTGAAGCAAAAGAAGAATATCAGTATGCTACCAGAAGTAAGTTTTCTCAACAATCCTTAAAAAATTTTTTTTTATATTATATGAATAATTTCCTAAAAACAAAATTATTTAATATTTTTTTTTAGACATATCCGTTCCTAAAAGAGCAGCATTAGAATTTATTATACGTGCTGAAACATTCATGCAAAAATTACTTAGAGAAGTCTCAGAGTTTGCTCCAGAATTAATAACTTCTGAAGCGCGCGAGTGGTACAAACGATGTCTCGGTACTATATCGGACTTCTATAAACCACCAAGACGCCCATGTACTTGGACAGCATACACAACAAATTGTTTTTATTATGAAGTGAACAATCTATCAGATAGACCTGATATTGATGAAACCATTGAAAAGATTAAGGAATGTGAACGAATTAGAAACAGTCGATTGAAAGAGGTTGATCGTGCCGCGACTGAAGCAAAATTAAATTCAACTTATTGGAATATAGCAATGATTAAACGACCGACGGATGGTGTGACATTCCAAACCAGAGTTAGATGGATAACTACAAATGGATGGTTCACATTTAATCAGTTAGCTCAAGCCTGGGTTTACGATGAAGAACGCTCTCCGTTGAGTCACCTTGAACCATACATCAAGGAAAAGGTTAAACATATGGAAAAAGAAATACGAAAAGAAGATATTGCCTCAAGGTAATTATAATTTATTATTACATTTCTTTTTATGATATATATATTAACTAATCTATTATAATGTTGCAGAATCAAGGATCATCCAGAATATCAAGCGATATTTACAGAAATTGATGAAGATGCAGATTTCTTTTTACGTGATACATACGAAATCTCTACTATTTATAAGGTATATTGATTAATAATGGCTAATATTTACAAATTGTCAATTATTAACAATTATTTATTTTTAGGTTTCAAATTTATACAAAGCTCACGTGGAGGATGTCAAACCTGGTATTGATCCCGATAAGGTCGTGCGACAAGTCATCGATCTCATTAGAGATGTTAAGACTGGTGTGATAAGTAAAAGTAGTTTGTTCGTTGCAGATCGTGAAAGATTCGCCGAAGAAGATGACGATGATGATGATAACGTCATTGTTGGGAACGTAAACAACAGATTTATCATTGCTATTGGAAACAACAATAACAATAATGGTAATAATTATGTTGCCGTTCCTACAAATGGGACTACGAATACGACCACGAATACGGCCCCGATCACTTATGCCGCTGCTACTGTCGCATCAATTACATCCAATAATAATAACAATAATTCAGCAACGGCTGTACCAAGTACTGGTGGTTCATCAATTTCAATTTAATTATGAAATTTTAAAAATTTTTTAATTTTTAACTGCACTTATAATACTTGTACTATAGGGTAGTTCACTTTATAGGTTAATGGGTTAATATTCGTATTTACAATTGGTGAATTGGTTTAATTATCACTGGTTCCTTTTATCCTTTAAAAAAAAAACAAAAAATAAATTTCGAATTTTTTTTTTTTAAAAGTAATTGAAGAATAAAAAGAGTAATTTTTTTATTTTAAACCCCCTTTCGAACAATCCCCCTGCATACAGTTAGTAATTTTTTATTATTGATTGATTTTTTTTTTTTTATCTTTCCTCCCCTTTATTTTTTTTCTATTGCACCAAAAAAAAGTTCGCATTTCTTTTTTTAAATTTTTTTAAAAATAAAAAAAAAAAAAATACAAGATTGTTAAAATTATTTTTGTATAAGAATTACCTTTTATGTTTAATAGGAAATTTAAGTATGAATTGTGAAACCTGAAAAGAAAAAAAATTTCATTTACAAAAAAACCTGGTGATAAATTCCAAATATATACTTGTGAAACGTACAAATGATATAACTGATATAACTCGAATAAAATTGTTTTTTTAAACACGAAATGGAAGAATATAGGATTAGCGATGATGTATATGAACAAATAAAAGATTTCTCCTGGTTAACCGAAGAACAAGACTTGTTAGTGGATAAACTAATATTAAATAAAGAAATAAAAGAACGTTATATAAAATTTAGGTTATGTAAAGGATGTAAACAACCTAAAAGTGCTGCTGATTGGTGTCGGCCATGTTATTATAAACGATTTCAAGAAGATTTTGAAAATTGGACTAGTTGAAATCCCGCAATTGATAAAATTTATTCAAAATATACAAATAAAGGCTAACATTAAAGATGAATGACCTCGAAAATGTTGAATATTTAGCTAAGGGAGGTTTTGGAACCGTCTATAAAGCAATTTGGAGACAATGAAGAATACACACTTGGAATTTTGATAGCAATCGTTGGAAAAGAGATCGAAGTCAACGTGTTGTTTTAAAATATATATACAACTCACAAGATAATATAGCCGAATTTTTAAGAGAAGTAAAATATCTTTTTTCTCCGATTTTTTAATTGAATTAGCATTTTAAGCACTGAATTAACGTGATTTATTTTTCAGGTTGAATCACATGTTATTGCGAATGAATGTGGAAGTGTCGGAGTGATTCGCTGCTATGGTATTGCTAAAAATCCAGAAACAAATGAATATATGATGATAATGGAACAAGGGATGAATGGTAGTTTAAGACAGTCTCTAGATGAGAATTTTAGTTCACTGAATTGATTCTTGATATGTTGAAATGGATGTCATGGGGGTCTTTGCAGCATCCATAAACGAGGATTAATTCATCATGATTTTCATTCTGGAAATATAATAAATATTGCCAATGCAAAGGTTTCTGTTACTGATTTGGGATTATGTCGACCATTGGATGCTCAAAATAACGATGTGTATGGAGTTTTACCTTATGTAGCTCCTGAAGTTTAAGAGGAAAAGAATATACTCAAGCAAGTGATATTTATAGATTTGGAATCATTGCATATGAAATCTGTACGGGATTACCCCCTATCATGATATTGCTCATGACAGAACCTTAGCTATTAAAATTTGTCAAGGATTAAGACCAAAGTCTAATTATAAAATTCCTCGATTAATTTTAGATATAATTTATCAATATTGGGATGGTGACTCTCTAAAACGACCTACAGCAGATGAAATGGCAGCTTGGAATTTTGATAACAATTGTTGGGAACGATATGGAAGACGTGTTGTTTTAAAATGTATACATAACTCACAGGATAATATAGCCGAACTTTTAAAAGAAGTAAGATATCATTTTCTCCAATTTTTAATTAAATTAGCATTTTAAGCACTGAATTAATGTAAAATTTTTTTCAGGCTGAATCACATGTTGAATGAACGTGGACGTTGGGGAGTGATTCGTTGCTATGGTTTTACTAAAAATCCAGAAACAAATGAATTTATGATGATAATGGAACGTGGGATAAATGGTAGTTTAAGGCAGTATCTAGATAAGGATTTTGGTTCACTGAGTTGGATGAATAAGTTGGATGCTATGGATATATGATATATGGTCTTGGTAAAGTCCATGAACGAGGATTAATTCATCGTGATTTTCATTCTGGAAATATGATAAATGTTGGTAATCAAATTATTTCTATTACTGATTTGGGATTATGTCGACCAATGAATGCTCAAAACAACGATACGTATGGAGTTTTACTTTATGTAGCTCCCGAGGTTTTAAGAGGAAAAGAATATACTCAAGCAAATGATATTTATGGATTTGGAATCATTGCATATTGAAGTCTGTATAGACTATAGGGTTACCCCCTTATCATGATATTGCTCATGACAGAACCTTAGCTATTAAAATTTGTCAAGGATTAAGACCAAAGTCCAATTATAAAATTCCTCAATTAATTTTAAACATAATTCACCGATGCTGGGATAATGACCCTCTAAAACGACCTAATGCAAATGAACTGGAGATTTTACTTGCTTATAAGGGAGAAATTATTGACGAGGAAATACTGAGATCTGTAAACAAGCTGAAGAAGCAGATGAAATTAATAAAGATTTACCATCATTAACAGCACTTTTATCAAATACTAATACACTCTCATATACTACACATCCTCAAGCAATTTATACAAGTAGAATTTTAGATTTTATAGATCTTCCAGAATCCAATTTAATCAATCTAAGAATTGATTTTGAAGGTATTTACATTAATATTGTTTTTAAAATTTTTTAATTAAATTCATAATTAACTTTTTATTGTATTTATGTAAATAGATGAAAATAATTGATAAAAGAAGTCAAATTTTTATTTCATTAATTTACAATAAATTAATTTTAATTTGATATTGAAAATTAATAAATATATATACTGTATTATTTATGAATACTTGGTTATTTATAAATTTTGAATTAACTAAATATAATTGACACAAGGTGACATATGATCACGTGAAAATGAAATCTACTAAATAAATTGCGGGGTTGTCGATCTTCATTTTTTTTTAAAAAAAATATAATGGATAATTTTATTCCAGGACAGATTTTTACAACTTCTGCAAGTTTAGTAGATAGTGTTGATAGTAAGTTTTTTTTTTAAAAAAAACGTGGTTTTAATATAAATTATATAAAATAAATTATATTAAGTTTGTAAAATTATATATATATATACATATACACATATTTTTTTTTAAAAAAAAAGGAAAATTGTTAGTAGTGCTTCGAGATGGTCGCAAACTTATTGGTGTATTAAGGTCTTTTGATCAATTTGGTAATAAAGATTCTTGTTTGTTATAATATGTATTATAAAATAAATTTTTTTTTTATTGAAAAATATTTTTTAAATTTTATTTTTTTTTATATTTTGTAGCAAATTTAGTTTTACAAGATACGATAGAGCGCATATATGTTGGTGACGCGTATGGAGATATACCGCGTGGAATTTTCATAATTAGAGGCGAAAATGTGGTTCTATTAGGTGAAATTGTAAGGGGTTTTTTTTATCGAATGAAATTTATGAATAACTAAATTTACCTTTTTTAAACTTACTCTAAAATTACAATTTTTAAAAAAATTTAGGATCTTGATAAGGAGGATGAATTACCGCTTCGACAGGTACCAGTTGAAGAAATTCTATTGGCACAACGAGAGGAAATGGAAGCAAGACAAAAACGTGAAAAACTTAAGAATAAACTATTACATGATCAAGGATTTAGTGTGGACTTTACTGAAACTGATTTATATTAATTAATTACATTTTATATACGTGTATATATTATATTGTAATATTCTTTGTATATTTTAATATGATTGGAGTTAGTTTTTAGTATAAGGTAAACAACAGATTTATTTACTCCCTTATAGTAATGTGAAATTTTTATTAATTAATTTTTTATCTTATAAAGTAGTATATCGATCAGTTCATGATGCGACTTCCATCAAACTTTGTATTTAATTTACATACTCAAACTAATATGTTCGTAATTATATATCTGACAAGGATAATTTTTTTATTCTGATCAACTTTATATTAAAAGTCTCTTTTTTTAATGGTATATTTTCATTATATATCAATTTAATCTGTATTGTATTTAAATATTATATTGTATTAAACAAATATAGCACAAAAATAGTTTATTACATGGTTTAATACAGGAGCGGTCGGAATAGGGGTAAGAAGGATACGAACAACAGCCTCCTATTGTAGGAAATCCGGTTTCGATTATATAAATTTACTTAAAATTAATTACTTTCTTGCAGAGAACCGCATGAATCCCAGAGAGGGTTAAATAAAATTATTTACAACCAAAATTATTATTCTCACTATTTAATGAATAATGAATTAAAAACATCATGTAAATAAATATTCAGACTATTATTCACTTTTTTCCAATATTTAATTATCTCTCAAAGGAATTCTTCTTTTATTTGATAACAATTTGCTCTAAACATTTTCTGTGAAGAAAATTAACAGACTTTATCCACCAAATTATTGAAAAATTTCTCTATATACAACCTAATAGTAATAAAATTACCTTAAATAGTAATAATGATAATAACTAATAATAAACAATAATTAGAGAATCTTTTTGTCGTATAGTTTTATTTATCAAATGACATTGATTTTTTGTTTTCTTAAAGAAATGTCATAAAAAAATTAATGCTATGAAATCTTTGATAAAATGACAAAAAATAATCTAGAAATGTGGTATTTATTTATCAATGTATTTTTTTTTACTATAATATTTAAAATTATAAATTAGATATAAATTTACATTTAAAGCATAAACTTAAGTAATTTTATATTAGACTGTAAATTTACATATACTGTACATTATTGTATCAGGAATTCTGAGAAATTTATAATTATATATTTAAAATTTTTTATTAAAATATATTTAAGTTTACAATTTAATCGCGAAATGATCTAAATAATACAAAGTCACATGTTATATGTAACTTTACTCAAATTAAGTATTATTAAAATAGAAGAAAGCCATGGAATATTAGATAACTTGGAAATTACCTATTGTAATGCCGTAATATAAGATAGGTGGTTAATTTGTAGATCATAAAGGATATGATTAATTTGTGATTTTAGATAATTATGAATGAAATGATCGTTTTGATTGGATACCTTAAAAGTTACTAAATACAGATCCTTATAAATAACAGATCAATTTGATCTCCCCCCAAAAATGAAGTTACGAATTTTGAAAATAATTAATAATTACCATTTACCTTTAGAATAGATAATTTCGATTCTTTTTGCCTTTTTCTTATGATGAAAAAGAGCCACATTAATTAATTTAATGGTATTATTTAAAGGGTTTTAATATGGGGAAACTATCGCATTCTGAAATTTTAGGATAAATATTTAATCGTTATTTAATATTATTAAACCAATCATAGACTTATTTTATCAATATCTAAGGTGGCAACGTGACTTATCACGGGTTTAGGTATTACACTATAAAAGAAAATGGTCGTAGGAAATAAGTGATTAGCATAGTGTAACATACTTATTTATAAATATGTTTGTAATTTTCACAATTTCCCCTCAACGTTTGATGGATTGAATATTAATTATTAAAAGTTACCAAGAGTATGCTCATGGTGCGCCTGAGTTTTAATTAATATTCAATTATTGATAGAAGTAATACCTTAGGAGAAACTCTCGCCAAAAATAAATCAATCCTTTGTCACGATTTATTTATTTTATTTTATTTTTACTTTAAAAAGGCCGTTATGGAAAAATTATATAATACATTTTAAATGGGAGAGACTTTAACCTAGTTGTGAAGGAAAGTCACGTGATAGGCGTAGTACGCACTACGCAGTAAAGTAGAAGAATATTAAGTCAAGTGATTAAGATATCAGCTGATTAATTTGTAGATCATGACGAAAATCTATAATTAGGAAGCTTTACAAAAGAAGGAATGAGATTGATCAAAAATGAAGAAAAATTAAAATTTCAAAAACATGAAAAGTATCAAGTACTAATACTTGGAGTTTTGATGAATACGGTTGCATATATGAAAAAGAAATTTCAGAATTTGACATAAAACATAGTAAAAGGGTATGCGTAGTTAAACTGAACTATTAGAAAAAGATTTTTCTGATTCAATCAGTGAAAAAGATGTGCAGTAGTTACTATATACGGATTCTTATAAATATCCGATCAATTTGACTTTGATGAAAAATCAGAAGCATATTATTGTTCCTACTTTAGATTAAGAGCATTTTCTCATCTAACAATGTCAGTAAAGGTCCGTTTAATTAAACAGAATGTTAATTAAGTATGTTTGCTGTCTAGAACCATGATAAGTTGGACAATTTGGTATCTCCTTCGGGTAAGGTATCAGTACGTCCTCCTCTCAATCTTCATGGAACTGGGTAAACATAATATAATTTAATTCTTCTTTTATATAAACGTGACCTGAATTCAAAGCGTCAGAGAAACACATTTCGTAAACGGATTCCTAGATTAATACG